AAAAAGAAAGAAAGACTTCCTAACAGTAGGGGCAGCTTATTCAAGTGCTTCATAGGAAACATGAAGGATCAGCAAGTAGTTAATTTGACTTGAAGATGTATGTGGACAGAGAACAGAGGAAAGACTGAACTACAAGGATGGGTTTGGATCATGAAATGTCTTGGACTTTCTTTTTTACCCAATCACAATAAGATGACATTAATGAAGGTCTATCTACCAGACTCTTGCTTTCCTTAGGTGAACTTAACTAATTTTATCAGAATCAACTTAATTCTTTCAAGTTAACTTTAAAAAGAGGGTCAAAGTGTCTCATGCAAAAATTCTCTGAAGGAATATATGATGTGCAATCAAATATAAAATATGCACATGGTATTGTGCAGTGAGCATGTTCTTTGGAGTCAGATCAAGGTTTTACTAAATGCAGGCTCAGGAACGAAAGCCAGAGTGAGAAGTAGGTAACAGAGAAGGGGCTTAAGAGGCATTTCTTCTTTGTCATGTTAAGTTACAAGTGGTAGTTAGTCAATGATGTCGTTGTTGTTAGATGCCATCCAGTCTGCTCTGACTCATAGAAACCCTATGCACAACAGAATGAAGCACTGCACAGTCCTGCACTGTTCTCACAATTGTTCTGGTGTTATTCAATAAGTGAGAGTAAATGTCCCTGTGGAGTATTAAAGGCACAGTTGGTTTCATTAAGAGTTGTGCAGGAATCCACAGCCAGTTCCTAATCCCACCTCTTGGTGAATGGAGTCCTTCATTTGTTGTTCCATGCTGTCGAATTGATTTTCAACTTATAACCACCCCATAGGGTTTTCTAGATTGCGGTCTTTAGAGCAACAGATCATCAAGGTTTTTTCCTGTGACTATGGTAGTTATATAATTTCATGTCTACTTGAAGATACATAATAGTGTAGGGGGTGTATTCACCAGGTCACGGCCTAATGGTACCTCCTTGTGGGTGTGGCTTTCTCAAAAGGAGGGCCATGGGAACTTCCCCTCTCTCTCTGCTTTCACCTTCCTGCTGGCTGTCCTTGATGGCAATCAGAGCCCTGGAGATGTGTCCATTGCCATTGGATCCACAAGACTTTGCACTGACTGCCCTGTGATCTTTCTGCATTTTACATCATTGTATGTGACTGGGTGAGTCTAAAGAGGGGCTTATGGACTAGTATCAGGCTTATGGACTTGAGTTGGACTGGGCTTGGATGTTTTTCCAATATCTACTTCTTGATATGAAACTCTTTCTTACACATATATGAGTGTCACTGAACTTGTTTCTTGAGTCAACAGGCCTAACACAGTGATTAATGAATGATTTGGACAACCAATCTTTCTGTTAACATCTGAGTGCTTAACTGTCATGCCTCAAGGACTTTTTAAGAATCATTTTATTGGGGTCTCATATAACTCTTATCACAATCCATCCATACATCAATTGTGTAAAGCACATTTGTACATTCATTGCCCTCATCATTCTCAAAACATTTGCTCTCCA